AAATTTCCATCAAAAACTATCTTTACCGCATGTATAAATTAACTTTGCTTGATGCGACAACAAATGGAGAATGATAGGCAACCCGACAAATCAAGATCATTGAATTACGAATAAATTCGGTTTAATAAATCCAGCTGCATCGGTTAAATTTGCTGTTTAGCTAGTAGCTATAAAATTATATAAAATAAGAATTTTAGATAAATACATATCTCTATTAAAATAGTTTTTAGAATAATTAATCCATATTTAATGCAGATATTGAAGTATCAAAAAATAGAAGGCATCAAATTTACTTTGAAAAATAATGTAAAATATAGAAAATCAATAACCCGATGATTTCATAGGCTATACTTGCAATAACATCCATTGAATTACTAAGTAATTTTCGTCTTCATTTTTTGTAATCTTACAAGACAATGCCAAATGACTGCATGAATATAACAAAATGAATTTACGACTTACAACCACTGAACTTACAACGTACCACCACTGAATTTACAACCACTCCAATTTAATGATCAATATAACAAAAGCCAATATTCACATTTATAATTAGAAATAGAAAATATTTCTTAAAAAATATTGCTAAATTATATCTGAAAAATGTGCGAAATTCATCTGAATTAAACGAATATTTTTATGAACAATGAACAACGTAATTACGAATATATTTCGTTATCCTTGTTTCTGATCTACTCTTATAAATTAAGAGATACGAGAAAATTAACGAGTACTAAAAAATATTAAACAGCTTAATAATTATCAATATTTTAATAATTTAAAAATATAAATTGGGCATGTAATTAAACTTGACGTTAGTATTATTTTGATAATATGTAGTTATAAATTTTACATTATCTTAAATATTTATCCAATATAAGGATCTTTTATATACTTCCTTAGCAATAAAGAGAAAAATTTTTAATTCCAATTACCTCGCTGGATATTATGATTATAACTTATTAAATATACAATTATTATGAAAAGTAATCATCTTAATTTATTTAATATATAGGTAAATAACAATATCCTTAAATGTTAAAAGCTTTGGCATTAATTTTGCTATATTACGAGATATTTACTATTGAAAAACAGCCTTAAATTAAACGTTGGATCAATTTCAAATTATTTCGTGAGTTTTTCCGATATGGCTCGATGCCCAACTCATACAATATCGTCCAAGACTCGAGACTCGAGATCGTTTCTCGGTAAAAGCGGCGATGGTTCATCGGAGTGGCCACAGGAATCCGTAGAAGAAACCAACGACGCAGCACTTTTTGAGCTGGCCTTGTCAAGGCTGCCATCTTCTCGGAATTGCGCGGATGCGATCAGCCATACTGCTTGACTACACGCCCCACGTTCCCTTCCTCCTTTCACCGCCACAACTTATTCATCCTTCTCTCCTTTGCGATTGCGAAAAATAATCGCCATACGTCAACTTACCCGCTCGTGTCCAATAACTAGTGAGATAACATGTCACGTACCAAGTTCATGTTCATATGTACGCGACTTACGAAACCGCTTTAATGAGGAACTCCCTTTAAAAAATAAAAAATATACTTCGAAGGCGCATTAGCGTAGAAATTAGTTATAATTAGCTTACTGGTGTTATCGTCAATAACGCTTGCCCTTTTGCCATTGTTGATTCAATAAAAATTTTCCCTAAATTATTAATTCATAAAAACTATTTCGCAAGATGAATTCAAAAATTGAAATTCGATATATTGAGAACAGAATGATCTCTCGAGTAGCTAGTGATGATTTATAATTATAATTATAACAAATGATAAATAGATAAACTAACCGTCATATTTTAGACACTTTTACTTAGTTTGCGATATTTAGAACCCAAAACCATCGGTCTATATTAATATTCCCTTGTGACTAGATTTATTTTTATTGATTTATCTACAATTTGAACGGAGATATTTAAAAAAAAAAAAAAAAAACTGTTCTTAAAGAAAATACTTATGCTTTTACCAACCTTCGTTTTATGTCAAAAAAAATCAAGAATTCACACTTGTCTGTCACTTATTGTCGTGTTTCCAATTTTCATCTGTTTAAAGTTTATGTTAAAATGTCATACGCATGCCTCTGCTTACATTTATAATAAAAGTAAAATATGCTTGAAAAGTTAAACTATAGTATATTGTTCATAACTTTTGATGTTGATTTCTGTAACTTTTGCCTTCCTGAACACTTAAAAATACAGGCATTCTTACAGACGATAAATATACCTTTCTTGTAATATAATAAATTCATATGTTTAAAATATACATGAATTTTTCTATTATTTTTTTATATTATTATTTTCTATAATATGTACATTTAACATGTCATACTAATTCGATTGAAATGAAAATATATGTTATAAAGTATTCCCTAAATTGATTATATATTCTTTGTAATAAAATCTATTTATAAATTATTTTTGACACTCTGATATGTAAATTAAACATAATGAAATCAATAAAACTTCAAACGAATATTACCTTTTAATTTACATCAATGTGAAACTTAATTTATTTTTTTTAAATATACGATTGAACAATAAGAAGACTCTGAAAAATTGAATACTCGAATGGTTCATTACATACGGTTAAGATACAAATCGCTAATACATACAATTTTTCATTATAAACCAATTTCTTTATAGAAATACAACATTTTTATAAATATTATTATCATTCGTTCAACGAAGTCCTACACAACTATAAAGACGAAAGTATGGCCAAGAATGTAGACAGAATTCTTGCTCGTTATAATACGTAATCCCTAGGCACTCGTTAGACATACCATCAACTGCAACCTTCAATGATGCGTCGTGAGATTGCCAGGAAAGAGCTATTAAAGTCTTATTTTTTGAAAAGTCAATCCTCGGTTATAGCAAACCTCTTCCACTTCCCTTATTCTAACTCTTTTATGATACCGATAATCCTCGCGACTACACTTGATTATTAAAAATCTCTGTACGCTGTTTAGTATTTTGTGGTCGGAACTGAGGTAGTTAGTTATTTTTCATAAGTCAAATGTCGTACATAAATATTTCACGTACAATTTAATGTTAATCAATATGTTTACTTTTATTTTTAAAGAATGAAGAAGTACTTGTTACAAAAATCAGAAAAAATCTCAGTGGAAATCAATGTAAATGTATAAAATTATAAAAATAATAAACAATTATATAATGAAATTATTCATTATTTTATTATATTGCAAGATTTTCATGTTAATATAAACAATATTTTATTATCAATGACGATAAAACAAGCTAATCTAGTGTAATTTAATTTAATGCAATATGCATAATCAATAATTAATCAATCGCATTGCATTAAACAAGTATATAGTGTCTTTTATTAATATTAACAAAATTTTTTTATCAACGATGCACCGAATTAAAATTTCATAAATTAATAAATTATAAGATTAAGAAACAATATAGAAGCATCTCTGAATATCTTTCAAAATGAAAAATGGTAATCAAAAGATATATAAAATTCAGGGGAAAAATCTCACGAGACAATATATTACCGACAGCCGGTGCGTAAATCAACAAATTACAACAACAAAAACGGAGAATTATTTATAGTGTGTCCTACGAGCTAAATCAAACAGTATAAATAAGGATATTCAGCGGCTTTGAAGATCTATTACATTACGATAAAGAATAGTAATGATTAAAAGAAGAATAATACCAATAATATCAATCTTTTCAGATCATACAAACACATTGACTCGTTTTTCCCTTAATCGCACACAAAAGTGCAATAGAAAGCACGATTAAAGCAATAGGAGTTTATACTTGATCTTTTTTATATATACATTTTGTCTAAATAAAGGTATCTAACAATTATAAAAAAGGTAAATAATGAAAATTAAAATCACAAAGAAAAAAATTATTTACTTAAAATAAATTAAAGCTAATCTTTACAAATTTATGAATAGAATATTTCTATTGTACTTATAGGATTATTTGAAGGTATTTCTTTATATACACACACACACATATATATATATATATATAATACAATATATTTACGATTATTCTAGAGTCTTCTTCATAAAAAGAATCGATGAATGCTTAAGAAAAAGTATAAACAACTACTAAATACCGAAAAACAAACAGAATTTTTACCATATTCAAGTGTAAAATAAAACGAAAATAGTCTCAGTAATATTAGAAAAAGAAGAATATGGAAATTAAAATTCAGCATTATTGAGAATAAACTTTCGAAATTATTATAGAATAATAACAGCAGCAATAATAATAATAATAATAATAATAATAATAATAATAATAATAATAATAATAATAATAATAATAATTTTTGTAATTACAAAATTTATAATTGAATGGATTACAATACAAAATACATCATAAAATATCAATAAGAATAACTTTTTGAAGAATATAAAAAAAAAATTTGAATTCATTTTACCGATTTTTTGTAATTATCATCTTTCAAATTTTTTTAATAGTTATCTAGATCATTTGACAACTATTTAAGCACTTTAACCATTTAAGCAATGTTTAAAAAGATAGTTTTTTTACGTACATTATTATACATTTTATACTTCTTATCTAAATAAAGCAATTGTGCAGAATATTGAATTTAAATATTATTTTATTAAAACAGAAACATTCAATGACAATTTTTTTTTTTCCATTAAGCCATAAAAATTAAATCTATCAACTATAAACGTAATAAATTGCCTCGTAAATAGAATTGATTAATACCAGATACTTCATACGGTCTACAGAAAACCCAAAAATAAATACTTAAATATAACATTGAATAAGATAACGGGAGGGCGATAAGCCAACCCTATTTAAAGTAGCACTACGAGCTTATCCTTAAGATTTGTGATAAAATCTTTTAGATGTTACATCATCGGTCTACCTTTCGACGAATTTATCAAAACAAATATTAAAATTAAAAATTCGTTATTTTTGTTGTCGTTAGTATTTTCACTGGTGATATTCAATTATTTCTTACCTTTAAGTTGTGTCGTTTCAATCGCAAACATATTCAGGGCTAATAGCTGAAGAAGCCGCATCCCCGGAAGCGGAAGAGGCGAATGATGTAAAAGCATACGAAATTCTCGAAGCATTTGAATCGCAGCTTCTTGAAATGTTTCCATACTGCAATAAGAAAATATTACATTTTATACCCAAGAAAGTGGTGATATTCTTAGAATAACACTGTTATTAAAGGATAAATTGAATTAAAATATTTACATTGTCTCGATATACATTGAACAATTTATATTCATATCCTTACATTATAATTTTTTTTTTTTTTTTTTTACACTATATGAAGCTTTTAAAAAGCTAATATTTCAATATTCAAAAATATGTTACTTTACATGCGATAAGCATTTTCTTTTTTTTTATTTACAAGTTTCTCTTCTCACTCGATAGATCCGTAATACGGATCAAATATCCGTACACATCGTCACTTGATACTTCAGTCCCAATTGGAATTAGAAAAACAACTGCATTTCTCGCTCGCGAGCCCTTTACTTGCACGAATGCCTATCTATATACGAAATTTCTGCACCATTCTATTTTATATGAAAATAGATAAGACTAAAAATACTGTCGGTTCAATATCAAACTAGAATACGAATACCAAATATGTTTATGAAGAAGGAGAAGAAGAAGAGGGAAATAAAGAGGCAAAGGAAATAGAAAACATGTTTATCGTGTTGAATAATTCGTTGCAACGATAAATTGAACGGGAAAAGGCAAGTTTTAAGAATTGAGAACTGATAGAGGAAATAGATGTACAAGAAAAGCAAAAAGGAGAGGAATATAGTGAGAATTGTACAGGTGTGACTAGGCGCGTTATCTATGCGGAAGTTCGATTATCAACACGTTACGACTTGTAACGATCGACCGGTCCTGAGGATTTCACCGGCTCTTTAGTATCTTATGTGCTACATGCGTGTAACACGAATCGCTTGAAAACACGTGTCGAATGAGCCTTGACGAAACGTGAGAAAAGACATTTAATTTTTACATTCACTATTAATATTTAGCATGCAAGTGTTATATAATGAAATTGGATATAGAATATTCATAGAATATTTCAATGTGAAATTACAATGTAATGGACACATAATATATTAAATTTAATTATATAATGTGTAAGTCTACGTATTCATCTTGGAACCGAGGAAATTTAAACAATTCATTGTAATAATTTAATGAAATCAGGAATTCATAGTGATTATACATTTTTTTTAGATTATTTTTATAATTTATTTTATGTTAACAATTATAATTCAATTCCATCTGTATTGCACACGGAAATCTTACTACGGATAATCTTTTGACTGCTCCACTTTATTACAAAATACTATTGTCATTTAATGTAATTGAAATGCTTAAAATAAATAATCGATGAATATTTTTATAATATTTTGAACGAACATGTATAATGCTAAATTAATCAGTTTTATCTCTGATTTTAGCATTAATCCAATTTAAATAGATGTATGAGGTAAAGTTTATCAAATATAATTTTCAATATTCTAATATATAAGACTAATGAATAACAAAGTCTATAGAAACAAATTTAACATGTAAAATTGCACGTTTTGAAAGCAATTTGAAAAATGAATATAACAAAAAGTACTTTCCCAATAATATTAATGTCCCTAGTAAGAAATCATTAACTTATATCCACTTGGATTATCATTGAAATTAGTATAAACACTTGTAATATATTATGCCATTAGATTGGTTTATTATAAATAAAATGATATTTTATTAAGTTACGGATGCTTAAAAGTATGTAATAAAACTCTTTTCAACTTATATCAGCGATAAGATCAATTCGTGTGTCACTTGTAAACTTCATAATTGCATCTTCGGAATTTCTTTTAGCTAATATAAGGATTCTAAGTATGGTAATGATCGTCATCATTATTCGAAACAAAAGTTCTGGATAAAGAATTTCTAATCCTTTATTGAACTAAAAGGTGTTAAAATTATGAGCAAAGTCGCACCCAACTGGTCCTGAGGGTTTTGCGCACACAATGATGATCACCGTTTAAAATAAAATGTGAATGTTACTTTAAAAATTACATTGTAAAAATCTAATGTGTCTTAACGATAGATCAATAAGAATATCGAATTAGCTTATACTACCAATGGATTGTTAATTCGTTTTCGTAACGACATTAATTACGTATTAACGATACAAATCAACATAATTAATTAAAAATAAAATTACAATAATTTATTTAGGAAAGTCAATTTATCGGTGAAATTTCAAATGATTAACAAATTCTCAACATGAAATATATTTTGCATTGTAAATATCTCAAACATATAATTCATTTATTTTTAATCAAGCTAATTGACATATTGTCATTTAATATTATGAACTTAAAATTGGAAATAAAATCGAAATCTTGACGTGATACTTGCTTAAAAAAAAAAAAATAATAATTTTAACAAAATTTATATTTACAAAGTTATTAACACCGTCGTCACGGTAATAAAGCAAAATTATTTTTATTCGAAATAATATATATTTATGCGAAAGAAGAAGCTCCAAGAATCAAACGATTATATATAGATAAGGAGCTTTTATTCGGTATTTTATAAATATTAATGACGTTTCCTGGAACATCTTTATTTTCCTCAATAAAATATGAGAATACACCTGTAGATGAAAAGACGTAGAAAACTAAAAGCGATTAGGTTTATGAATCATGCCCTTGGGAAATGAAGCATATAAAATCCAAGCACGTCAAACTCAACTGATGCGAACACTCATGAGTTCGCGCTTACTGTACTTTTTACTGTAAAAATCGAGTAAAAAGCCAAACGAACGTCTCTCAGTTAAATAACCAGCCGCAGCAAATAATGTTTCCTGGTATGAAATAATTCGAATAACAAGGATCGAGCTAGAGCGGAGGCGTCTTTCTTCAGAGAGTTGACTGCAATGCTGCACATAGCATGAATAAGGTTCGGGTTAAGTAAGATCTTTCTCTCCCTCTCTCCCTCCCGCCACCCACCCCCCTCTCACTCTCTCTATCTCTCCCTCTTTCGTCCCTCTTCCCTCCCACCTTAACGCCCTCTCATTTTGCCATCGCCGTTCATCCCCTCTCGCTCACTCTCCATGACTAGCTGCACGCGATAAGCTGACTTATCTAGGTAGGATCGCGCGAGTAGTCTTCGCCGCTCACTTGGCGCAAGATAGAAAGATGTGAGAAAGTAATGGTGCTTTCGGCGGATGGAAACGATAAAGGAGGACACGGTGCTCGGTCTCCCTCTTTCACGCGCATTCCCCATATGAACCAACGAGCGCCACTATCTTCCCACAGCCTCGATCGCTTGCGCCTAACCTGACGCACACGCCATTGGCAAATTTACGGTACGTAACATCTCACTCGATCCTCTGACCGCCGCAATTTCGGGAATTTCTCGCGATTCCCTCTTTTATGCTCAGATGACCGCCAAGGCCACTCGTCGACTATTATAACCACCGTCGACACTCTTCCAACTTGTGCATTAATATATAAGTGACATCCTTTATACATAAATTGACCATTTACTCTCCCATTCTAATGTCAATTTCAATTTTCTATACAGACATAACTAAAAAATTTTTTAATAAATAATGATATTCATCGTTACAGAACCTGAGAACATCAGTTTTCACGCTATTTCCCAGTATGAATTCCATATAGATTCAAAATTTATAATGATTCTTATGAATAAAAATACCACAATTACGATTTATTCTGTTTAAGTAAAGGTTCGCTTGCTTGTGCCCATCAATTTATAGGCAAACCAAGGTATCTTGAATTTTATTGCATATTTACAATAAATTTATCATGCAAATTGAAATTTATAAAAATAACGTATTGCATACTCATTAAATAATAAATTTGTTAATTTATATCATCTTTAAAAATCATGGTTTATATTACTTGGTATTGTTTATATATAACTATAATTAAACATACCGCTACATGCTTTAATAACTAAATATCTACAAAGCATATTCCATAATTGTAAAACAGGATAATAAACCAGTTTATATTTTGCAAAAAGGCAACAAATGAGATCAAATAATTGGCAAATCAGACAGATAAACTCACTTCAAACAATATCCATAGTAAGTTAAATTAGTTGTGGTAAAAATTATAGATTCTTTGAAAATGCACTACCATTGTTGCAATTCAAAAATTGTTACTTATTAACCTGCAAAAAAAAATATATATATATACATATTTCAAAATTATTTAATACAATTTGATTCTCTCTCTCTCTCTCTCTCTCTCTCTCTCTATCTATCTATCTATCTATCTATCTATCTCTCTATCTCTATCTATCTCTCTTTCTAACTTTCTTTATATTACATTAAGAAATTCCGATGAATTACTTACTCTACTAATTTGTGAGTAACCCAATCAATCAAGTATTGTGCAATTATAAATTATGAGACACAATGCACTACAATCAAGACTTAGACTTGTTTAATTTAAAGATGACTACGAGCTAAGCAATTAAATTATAAAAATTTTTAAATTTTAAAAAGAGGCAATTGGCGTTACCAATTCATAAATACCTCGAGAGTTCAAGCCACGTGACAATATATGCAAACGCAGCAAACAAGTGCAAAAAGGTTTTGTCTCTCTCTCAACGACTGTTAGCAATGTCAGCAAGTTCGCGATAGACCGCCGCGATGTGTCGACGTACCGTTAACCCGCACTACAGAGATCGTGCTTAGAGACTTTTGATCGGCACACCGGATGGTCGCTAAGCGGGCGTCTCACATCCTGAAAGTCGATGGGAATGGGAACCATACCATGGGCTTTATCTCGCCTACTCGTATCTCTTTCTCTCTCTCTCTCTCTCTCTCTCTCTCTCTACCTCTCTCTCTACCTCTTTACTATTTGTCTTTATATATGTGCGTATATAATATATCAATCTGTGTCGGTAAATTTGTTGATGAGACATAAGTGAAAACGCCGATAAGTATAAAAGCTTTTTCAATATATCCGTGCACAACAATCATCATCAATATTTTTTTCCCATGCTAGACTGACATCGATCCTTATGGTTACAAGTTATATATGTTAATGATCAGTGCTCGAACTGACCCGAACATAAAAATCAAT